GCTGATTGCCAGGGTGGAGGGAGGGGGTCGTGGCAGGTTGTTTTTCTGGGGTAGGGGTGCTGGGGTGTTGCTACCATGCGGGAGGGAGCGGAGGGCAGAGATGGCGTGGTGCTGGAGGGCAGGGGCAAGAGGCGTGGAAGGGCGGATGAGCAAGGCTGGCGGCACCCCAGGAATGGGCCATGTTAGAGGCAGGGGGCGGCGCCGCAGGGGTCGAGGCGGTGGACATGCTGGGGGTGGGATGCGGATTGCGGTGAGTATGGCTGGGTACCGGCGTCGTGGGTGGCTGCGGGGCCCGCCCTCCCTCGATTGGTCTTCAGAGGGGCCGGGCCAAAGGCATAAATGAGGACGGGCCCACCCAATTTGCTTTTCACCCAACTTTTTCACACATGCACCCCCCTCCCCTCATCATCATGCACCCATCATGCGCCCCCCCCCCCAGGACGTGCGCGGCAAGTTTGGTGACGACTGGGAGCGCATCGCGCGCATGAGCATCATCGAGGAGACGCCCGGCGGCGAGAAGTGAGCGGCAGGCGCCGCGCCGCCCTGCATGGCCCCCACACGCTCCCCCCCTTCTCCCCCTCCCCCCAAAAGTTGTGATTTATCCCTTACCCATGCCGTTGCTCCAATATTTCTTCTTGGAACAGAGGGTCATCCATCCAGGAGCACTTACCCGGGCATCGGCCGTGCAGCATCCTGCGCACCCGGCTGACGTGGCACCCCAACCCCGCGCCCCGGCCCTCCACCCCCCGTTGCGCAGGTTTGTGCGCATGGCGTTCCTGGCGTGCGTGGCCAGCCACACCATCAACGGCGTGGCCGCCATCCACTCGGAGATCATCAAGAACACCATCTTCAAGGTTGGGGCCCGCGGCCGCGCCCGACACACACGCGATCGCTCTGGATTCGGGCAGATCGCCGCTCCTGCGTCCCCCTTGAAAGCGCACGTGCCACCCCCGCACGCTGCACCGCCCCTCGCCCCAACCCCACAACCTCCCTTTTGAATCTCCCCCTCCCCTCGATTACGAAAACCCTGAAAACCCCGCCCCCAGGACTTCTACGACCTCTGGCCCCACAAGTTCCAGAACAAGACCAACGGCGTGACGCAGCGCCGCTGGCTGGCGTTCTGCAACCCCCGGCTGCGCGCCATCATCACGGAGCGCCTCGGGGGCGAGAGCTGGATCACGCACCTCAACGAGCTCACGGTGAGAACTTCACGCCCCCCCCCCCCCCCCCCAAA